GATACACCTATTTGAGTGGATAAGCGCATTTTTTTCACACTGTGAAATTAACGGGCACCAGCCTAGACATAGATAGTTTTATTAATTATTGCTGAGAGGTATTTTTTAAATAAGACTACCTAGGATGGTAGACATTAATTTCACTGTTTGAAAAAAATACAGGTACAGTGTAACCCGGATATAAGAGAGTTGTCGGGACCGGAGAAGAAGTCTCTTATATCCGGGTTTCTCTAATATCCGGGTTTGGTCTATTTTATATACATTAACACAGGCTCTAATTTGGGACCAGAGAAAATTTCTCTTATATCCGGGTCACACTGTATTATTCATATATATATATATATATAGTGTAACCCGGATATAAGAGAGTTGTCGGGACCGGAGAAGAAGTCTCTTATATCCGGGTTTCTCTAATATCCGGGTTTGGTCTATTTTATATACATTAACACAGGCTCTAATTTGGGACCAGAGAAAATTTCTCTTATATCCGGGTCACACTGTATTATTCATATATATATATATAGTGTAACCCGGATATAAGAGAATTGTCGGGACCGGAGAAGAAGTCTCTTATATCCGGGTTTCTCTAATATCCGGGTTTGGTCTATTTTATATACATTAACACAGGCTCTAATTTGGGACCAGAGAAAATTTCTCTTATATCCGGGTCACACTGTATTATTCATATATATATATATATATAGTGTAACCCGGATATAAGAGAGTTGTCGGGACCGGAGAAGAAGTCTCTTATATCCGGGTTTCTCTAATATCCGGGTTTGGTCTATTTTATATACATTAACACAGGCTCTAATTTGGGACCAGAGAAAATTTCTCTTATATCCGGGTCACACTGTATTATTCATATATATATATATATAGTGTAACCCGGATATAAGAGAGTTGTCGGGACCGGAGAAGAAGTCTCTTATATCCGGGTTTCTCTAATATCCGGGTTTGGTCTATTTATATACATTAACACAGGCTCTAATTTGGGACCAGAGAAAATTTCTCTTATATCCGGTCACACTGTATTATTCATATATATATATATATATAAAAACCCGGATATAAGAGAGTTGTCGGGACCGGAGAAGAAGTCTCTTATATCCGGGTTTCTCTAATATCCGGGTTTGGTCTATTTTATACATTAACACAGGCTCTAATTTGGGACCAGAGAAAATTTCTCTTATATCCGGGTCACACTGTATTATTCATATATATATATATAGTAAACCGGATATAAGAGAAAGTGTCGGGACCGGAGAAGAAGTCTTTTATATCCGGGTTTCTCTAATATCCGGGTTTGGTCTATTTTATATACATTAACACAGGCTCTAATTTGGGACCAGAGAAAATTTCTCTTATATCCGGGTCACACTGTATTATTCATATATATATATATATATAGTGTAACCCGGATATAAGAGAGTTGTCGGGACCGGAGAAAAGTCTCTTTATATCCGGGTTTCTCTAATATCCGGGTTTGGTCTATTTTATATACATTAACACAGGCTCTAATTTGGGACCAGAGAAAATTTCTCTTATATCCGGGTCACACTGTATTATTCATATATATATATATATATATAGTGTAACCCGGATATAAGAGAGTTGTCGGGACCGGAGAAGAAGTCTCTATATCCGGGTTTCTCTAATATCCGGGTTTGGTCTATTTTTATATACATTAACACAGGCTCTAATTTGGGACCAGAGAAAATTTCTCTTATATCCGGGTCACACTGTATTATTCATATATATATATATATATAGTGTAACCCGGATATAAGAGAGTTGTCAGGACCGAGAAGAAGTCTCTTATATCCGGGTTTCTCTAATATCCGGGTTTGGTCTATTTATATACATTAACACAGGCTCTAATTTGGGACCAGAGAAAAATTCTCTTATATCCGGGTCACACTGTATTATTCATATATATATATATATATAGTGTAACCCGGATATAAGAGAGTTGTCGGGACCGGAGAAGAAGTCTCTTATATCCGGTTTCTCTAATATCCGGGTTTGGTCTATTTTATATACATTAACACAGGCTCTAATTTGGGACCAGAGAAAATTTCTCTTATATCCGGGTCACACTGTATTATTCATATATATATATATAGTGTAACCCGGATATAAGAGAATTGTCGGACCGGAGAAGAATCTCTTATATCCGGGTTTCTCTAATATCCGGGTTTGGTCTATTTTATATACATTAACACAGGCTCTAATTTGGGACCAGAGAAAATTTCTCTTATATCCGGGTCACACTGTATTATTCATATATATATATATAGTGTAACCTGGATATAAGAGAAATTGTCGGGACCGGAAGAAGTCTCTTATATCCGGTTTCTAATATCCGGGTTTGGTCTATTTTATATACATTAACACAGGCTCTAATTTGGGGCCCAGAGAAAATCTCTCTTATATCCGGGTTTTTCTTATATCCGGGTCTCTTATATCCGGGTTACACTGTATATTCATTTGTCCAATCAAACAAAATTAACGTTTGTAGTAATACAAAAATAATATTGGATTAAACCCCGTTGATTATATATATATATATATATATATATATATATATATATATATATATATATAATCACTATTATTCGACAACGAAGTTGCTTTTCTACGTTACAATGGCAAGTTTTGTCAGAGCCGAACACTTCGATCTGAAAGGCATACATATGATAGATGAAGGAAGTAAAATAATCAACTAAAATGATATAGGCCTCTACTGGGATAACGATCTCATAATCCTAAGAAACTACCTCTGACTAGGAGACTGGGTCTTTTGAGGAACCTGGAACCACTTCTTAATTGCTGTTGTTCCCATGTCCACTCTGACCATGAGTTGTAGCACCTGTTAGGTTCCCAGATATGGATAAACAGTGAACCTCCATACAAAAACAAACCATTATGAAATTATAAAAATATATTTTTATATAAAAATTGCCAATAATACATATTTATAGTAAAATTACAAAGAATATCTATTTATAGTATATATTATGTTGAAGCCATAAAATTATGTTCAAAATATTTAGATTTTGATTGGCATTAGATAACCCATAGAGGTAGATTGCCGCTAAAGAAAATCAACAAACCAACCAACAAGAAGGAACTCTTTCAGGATATTAATCCACATATCCACAATTTCTTAAAGAAATCAAACTATATTCCAAAATATATCAACAAAACTACAACATAAAACACACACACATCATCGCCTCTAGTAATTGTGTCCACACAAACATGTATATACCTACAAGCTGTGTATCATTTACAATGTATTCTAGGTATTTACTCTGTCTCTCCACTAGGACGAGTTGTGACACAAGGTCTTTTTTTAAAGATGGGACCCGAGCGCGTACACTCGGGCCAGGAACAAAAATTGCCCGCAGCCCTCGCAACCGCCGGTTGGCCATTGTGCGAGCACCGATCCCTCTCTCTGGTGCAATGAGAGGGCGAGGCCTCGGGCAGTTGTTCCCCACGGCTAGGCACATCAGTATTTATTTTCCTCAGTTGTGATTCTGTTCTTTGACGGAGTTGCCCCTGAGTGCACTGTGCGCAAATACAGAGACGCAACTGAGAGATGATAAATAATGTGCTACAAACCACTCAAGAGAGTGATTTATACACAAAATGTTCTACAATGTATTCTACCGTGAAAGCAGAATAACATATATCATGTTTATTACTTCAAAGCCCCCATGAAAATTAAATTTCACGTAAGGAATTGATATGCCATTAAATCAAATCCTAAGAAACTGTAACAGACAAAATAATAAGAAAAACCAGAGTAGTCATAAAAATGATCAATAATAGGATTTGATATAGATATAAAAACAAATAAGAAGTAAATTTCATAGATGTCACACTCAACCTAAGAAAATGTGTATATCAACCATATAGAAAACCCAACGACTTTACATACACACATCTTCGAACCAACCGCCAACAATAATCATACAGATTCCACAGTCAATTAACTGTAGGTTACTGATAATTCTTCTAATGAAACCATATTCAACGAAGATAGTAGATTTTTGGCAGTACGCACCACAGAGTAAAAAGAAAAAGAAAAAGCCATTAGAAGAAGAAGCCTCATATGGCTTAATACACCATATAACAAAAACAGAGAAAATGTTTATTAAACTCATTCACAAACAATTTCACCCCATTAAGCACATCCGCAAGATATTCAACAGAAACACAGTAAAGAATCACTTACAGTGGCAACGAAAACATGACCCAAATAATAAAAAATGTACAGCAGTAAAATAACAAAGAAATCATCCATAAAAAACAAACTCACCTGTAATTGCTGAGCAAAGCATGCATATATTACTTAAACGGTAATTGCCTCCAAAGCATTATAATATACCAAGCCACTATAAAAACAGAAGATAAAGAAAAAATATACATAGGAGTAACTGAAGGACCTTGGAAACAGTGAAACTACGCACACAAAACATCGTTTACCAACAGTAAATACACGAACAGCAAAGTCCTTTCTAAAAATATATGGAAACTTAAAAATAAAATATATCAAGAACATTATGAAAAATAAGGAGAACTACACCAGCCTACAGACCTTCCCAAATTAACACAAATTGCTAAATAAACGATCAGAACTTATTTCAAAATGCAGAGACGAAAGCAATATTTTACTGCGTTATTTAAAAATCGGAAACTAAAAACGAATATCTTGTAAAACATTACTGAGAAAAATGTAAATATATGCACTTGTTAGGGGAGCATGCTGCTCGAGTGTTTAAGTGTCTCCTGGTTTATTTATTCCACAGCAAAAATGGCGGATTCAGAATGCCAATCCGTGTAATAAATGAACAGAATAAGAACAAAACTATATATATATATACAAGGGTATTTGCACATAAGTGAATATAACAAACCCAACTGAAATTGGAACTCAGCTCTCCAATTAATAATTCTAGGTCATTATCCATTACACCATCCTCATATCCAAGCTTACAGCACCTGGTATTCCTAAGCGGCCAGCCATCTAGGTACTGACCAGGTTCGACAATTCTTAACTTCAGTGATCATACAAGAACAGGTGTTTCAATGTGATATGGCTGTAAGCCCCTTTATGGAGGCTCCAGAATTTAAGATTCAAGAAACAACATCTAATTTCATACTATAGTAAACAAGAAAAGTTTGTCAAATTTTTAATTCTTTAATTTGGTTTCAAACCGTGATTTCTTTGTTTTCAGATACATGGTTTTTTTGGGTTTTTTTTTTAAACAACTAATTCCTCAAGGACATATGGCACAGTGGATAAAAGCGTTGGTTAGATCCCATGATAGGACCCAAAGAGTGTGAGTTCAGTACCCGGTTAAGGCAGTGGAGAACTTTCAGAGGGAAATTAACAGGAGATAATTGATAACTGACATCCATCAAATATGGCACGTGGAACTAGAACAGAGTACCCCAGTGAGCGAAATAAAGGGTTCAGTTCGACATTCCAACCACCTGAAGAAGGCCGGAGCATACAACGGCCGAAACGTTGTAATAAATATGGCGACAAAGATGAGGACAATAGTCCGAATAATGTAAATAATGTACATAATACCTCATCTCAGAAATATAGACAGATATTTAAGTGAATAAATAATAAACAAATTAACAAATTGTACAAATGCGCACATAACCCCAATTAAGCAAATATAATCATAATCAACAGCGAATAATTAATGAATAAATACCCTAAGTAATCAATAGCAAATAATGAGTTAAAAGTTAACAACTCTATACAATAACCTCTAAAATAATTGCATTCTAGCTCAGAATTATTTTTACTCAATAGCCTTTGGAATAATTTAAAATATAATTGATCCCGCCTATTCAATAACCATTAGGATAACATAATAAAATGGAAACACCTGACATTGCTACACATAATGCCCCACTTATCAGCATATATAGATAGTCGAGCTACCAATCAACACGCATGACCTAAAGATTGCGTTCAACAGACTGTCGCCACTCGGCGTTGATCTCAGTATCCACTCTTATATTTTACACACGCTTTCTGTAATTTTACTATAAATATCTATTGTTGACATTTTTATATAAAAATATATATAAATGGACGAAATAATAATAATAATAAAAATTCCAAATCTATTAACAAGTACAATTAAAACAATAGGTTTAAAAACCCAACCCAATCATAATCTTAAAGCCCCTTTAAGAAATCACCCACAAAAAAAAAAAAAAAAAAAACATTAAAAACTACCAGAACTATAACATCAATCAGTTAAAGTTTTAGCAGGGAGTCGGATAAGATTAGCCATTGTAGCCAGACAAAAAAAAAACCCCAACCCAACCTTACACGACTCCAAAAACTTGGCATATAAGAAACACCTCTTCCTCAATCAAAGCAGTGACTCCTTGATAATGAAAAACAAACCCTAGAACACCGTCCCCCATTTCTAAACTATAAACAAGTAAAACATTCCATAGCATAGTTATTCCAAAAATAGCCTGAGGATGAAACTGCCACACGGTAGTTAAGGTTTAATATTGAAATTAAACCTGAATACTGCTGACGAGTTTGAGAAACATAGTAATTTTTGTGTCGCGATGGAATCATATTTTAAAATATATATATATATATATATATATATATATATCCCTGATACTGAGTACTTTTACGCATAAATATAGCATTCCATAAAACTATATTTTTTATCGGCATGGTATGAGAAATTGGAGAGTTCGAATGCTGGTTGACTTCGTTAGGCGCAAGTACTCTTTAGAAAAGTATGAATCCATCTCTTCTCTCCCTTGCCAACTAATCTAGAACAACAACTCTGAATTCAAAAACTAAGGAAGGCTGCTTGGAGGTCTCGGAGCACATTATGCTCACCAGTTCTCTGTATTTAGTTCTTTCGAAAAGTGTGGATGGTTCTGAACAAGCCTCCGCCAATATAATTAAATATTATGTGCAGGTAGTCTGACTGTTTAGTTCTAGGACCTGAATTGTTGGACCCTCATATGTCGAAGACGGCGGAGGAGTTTCTCATCATATGAAAAATAATAAGACAAAAATGGAACCGGCTGAAGTAGAAACAAAAAAAAAGAAGAAGAAACTTACCTGAATTAAGCAAAAGCCGACAATGCTCAATAACTTGGACAAAAATATCTGAAATAGAAATATCCAGTCCAGAAAAGAACAGGAACACAATCCAAAATAGAAGACACAGATCTTTACTGTGACAATAATTTTTACGTAGAACGATTGATTAAGGGCATATCAACTCCCTATGGGTCATTTAATGCCGAAATTTAATGTTCTTGGTCGTTTGAAGTAATAAAATATGATATGTTATTCTGCATTCACAATTGAATACATGGTAGATGATACTCAGCTTTTGTGCCTATACATGTTTGTGTGGACATTACTACTAGAGACTGTGATATGTGTGTTTTATGTTGTAGTTTTGTTGAAGATATATTTTGGAATTGAGTTTGGTTTAAGAAATTGTCGGATAATATTTGGATTAATATTATGAAAGAGTGCTTTCGTGTTAGTTGTTTGGTTGGTTGGTTTTGTAGCGGCATATCAACACTTCTATGGGTTATTTAATGCCGAAATCTAAATATTTTGAACACAATGTTATGGTTTCAATTAAATATATTTTGAACACAATTGTATGCCTTTAACTACAGATAAAATGTATTACTGGTTAATTTGCTTTAAACATGTAGTGTGATTTTACTATAAATATGTATTTTTGATCCTTATTTATATAAAAATGTATTGCTAGTATTTTAACTATAAAAAATGTATTTTCTATACTTTCATGGTGTTATATTTAGGAGTTCAATATTTGCCTATAGCTAGGACCCCCCCTCCAACAAGTGCTCCCCCAAACCTCCACTCTTCCTATCAGAGGCCTTGCTGTCGAATGATGTTTACGTCATACCCAGGACTTTACGCGTAAGGCGATCTTCAGACGGTTCAGATAAGAACGCATATTTTTTCTAATAATATTTCTCGAATATTCAGGCCACTAGATGGAAATAAATAAATATACTGTTTAATAAATAAACAAAGCATCTACTCAAATATGGGTATCCACGAAAAATAAACTTTAAAATATATATATGTATATATATAAAATGACCGACTGCTTTCGTCTGCTCCACCGGCAAGCAAGCCAATGTCTGTTGCAGGCACCTGCACATTTGTATTTGTTCAACACCCACAGAGCCCATTTTTGGTTTCTACTGCGACTCTGCTTATCGGATCTTAGTTAAAATTTCTGGGAGAGAGCGCATAATATATCATGATCAGTAGTTTGAACAATGCCAGTACTCTCAAACACTCGGTCACGATGACTTGTGCAAGCGCAACCATCGACGGATTTGATTCCCAAACGTTTGGTTTCCAAACGTGCCGCCGCACGCAGGGGTCGCTTCCATAGACCGATAACATCAAAAAGTCACTTTCTTGACAAATCAACCGTGATTGGATTCGATCCTGGGTCTCATGTTCGGAAAGTGAACGTTCTAATCGCTCAGCTACACGACCTTATATGCATGTATCAAACTCGTGAGATTAGTGTACTGAGACGAGCTTGCTTATGATCGTGCTATGCCAGACATTGTTATTCGTACTGCATTATGTAAAATCGTTTGGTCGAGAAATTAAAAACAAAAACTGCGATTTGCTCTACTGTACTATGTCATCTTGTTATTATGGTTCTTGCATTACACCTTGTTGAAGTAACCACTTTTCATCATTTAAAAGAGAACATTTTTGTTATATTTCAGCAGCAAACCGTTCATGGAAATACGGTTCAGTAGTAATTATTTTCTTCTTTTTCGTTTAATCTATGTGGAAGCCATGCATCAAAGGGACGAACATAGCCAAACTGGATCCCACGTCGTATAACGTTAGTTAATCTTTGGGAATGTTTTGATTTGATCAGTATCAATCTCATATCATCGACTGTAGAACATTGTTCAGAGTGGAATCCCCATAACTTTTGATATGTTTTATCATTTACAGTACCTTCTTTATAAATTGCATGATTTTTTGGTTTTGAATTTGAGTCACATTTTTACTGTTCTAGATATAAAAGATATATATTAGAAAACGTCGCATATTATTTTCTTCCGTCTTCAGAGTTAAAATCGACAAGCAAAAGAATGTGCCAATTTTGACAAAATTTACCTCAAAATGCACTTTGATATGACACTTACCACAATACAATAAAAACGATCGTTTTTTTTTTCTTTTTAAACGCTTCTAATGATATCTAACGAGAGAATGAATCAGTATAATATTCAAACTATTGTGCTTCATTCTATATTCGAGCAATGTTAATTTTGACAGATGATTGTATTTTTATTGTACCACGTGTGTACAGATTTATCTGTCGAGGAAAGAGAGTGGAATAAATGATAGCTTGCAGCGTTTGTTCGCGATCATAAAAGATGTATAGTTCTTCAGATATCACCTGTTACCAGCCATAGCTCAGGTTAATGTTGGATAGGCTTTTAAAAATACGCTCTTTGAGATCAGTATTCTTTAAAGTTCTTCTTATAGTGTCCACAATTATGGTGACTAACAGTTTCCACCATAGGCAAGCTACCGTATTTTCTTAGAATATACGACGTACCCTTTTTTTGATTACAAAGCTTTTGGAATAAAATCTACACTTGTATTTGAAAGATTTTTATTAAACAAAAATCTTTCTTGAGCAAAATTTCAATCTCATACTTTCAAAATCAGTATATATTTTTCTAAATACAAAATTACTCAAAACATCAAAATAAGAAAATACCATGAATAAATTTTTTTTTATCATCATCTAGTTTGATTAAAAACCAGGAATATCCTAATTGCTGACCGAGACCTTTCCTGTATGGTACCTAGACTTAACAAATTTAAGTACTAGATTGGCGCCAAAGTCTCATCAAATGGCTAGATAGAACCGTAAGTTCTATGCTAAAAGTTTCTTTTATTGCACTTTTCACTTGTGGAACTCTCTTCCAGCTTCTTACTTCCCAGTCAACTTTGATTTTCAAACATTTAAATGAAATGCCAATCGTTATCTTCTGTCGTCT